AGCTTAGAAGAAGTAAACAATAAATATATTTTGCTTATTGTTGGAAGAACAAAGGCAAAAACCAGATGTCCTATTATACCTACTACATTTATTTCTTATGTGGTGCTTTTTACTAGGCATCCAATATGAGTCCTTCCATTCTGGATTGCATGTAAGATTATTCCCTTATATAGATACCCCCAAAACATAGAAGGGATCTATCAAGGACAGGGAGCTCCCCTTATATTCTTGTCATTAGTGAATATTTATGAGTATCTGATAGCTCTTAACCTGTCAGCTGAGCCTTCTTCAGATCTAAATAAGACTTTTTATTTTACACAGTTCTGGAGCCGCTTCACTGGGAGGATTCTGTCAACAATCAGCATTCCACTGGCATTAACATGCAATAAAAGACAATGAAGCATGACTCAATTAAACTGCAAAAAAAAGCGTCTTCAGATAACATTAACCCAGTAGTCTTCAAAATCTATGTGGGGCTTCTGCTGCATGGCTAACATTAAGGTCAGTGCTTGGAAAACATATGCCTAAGCATCAAACAAACCCACACACAAGATGATTTAGAAGAAAGATCAGAACTCTGTTTTATCTCCTTCCCATGCTGTATCCAAGGATTTCACAACTTAGAGTATGCGGTATCAATTAGGTCTCCCCGCTGCAAAGATTAAGAACAAAATTTCCCTTCAAGATGTCAATGCAAATTTAATTTACAGAGGAGATACAGTTTGGGAGCCCTTTAGAGTGAGATCTATTTAAAACAAACAAACAGACCAAAAGATTATGTGGGGAGTGGTTCTGAGAAAATATGGAAGCACTTGCAGTATGAACTCACAGACCCCTGATATCAGGGTATGTCAGTCAACATATTTCCACAACTAGAAAAGAGACTTAGAATAAAATTGCCAAAGCTTGAGAGGGAGCTCTTCTACCAATATGTTGATGTATACATTTGTATCTCACCTAACCAGGAGGGCTGGATACCAGAGGGTTTTTTGCTGGTTTGCTTTGTTTTTTGCTGGTTTGCTTTGTTTTTTTGCTGTACTTGAAATATTTAGCGCTCTGGGTTTAAATCATCAATATTTTTAGGTTTCATTATATTGAACACTTAATCATTTCAGTGAAAAGTGCTCTCATTGAACTAAACCGTTAGAAAAAAAAACTATAAGGTTTCACCAAAGTAAGATAAAATAGATTCAAAGAGTATACAATAAAAATTTTCAAAGATTTCATTGTTTGGGGAAATTATTAAAATTCTTTTGCTTCAGTTGTAACAAAAAGCATAGATAAATGACCAGGGACATACGTTGAGCTCATGGGTAAATAGTAAAGGAAAATGCTCTGTTACAGTTAAGATATGATTTATAAATTCCAAATCATTATTTGAAGCTACAATTAATATAATTTCTTTCAAGCTGAATTTCTTTTGTAAGAAAGCTATAAAAATATGCCAACAAAAGTGGGAATCAAATAAAAACAATCTTTTTTTTTAAAAGATTTTATTTATTTATTTGAGAGAGAGAACATAAGCAGGGGGTAGGGGCAGAGGGAGAAGCAGACTCCCCACTGAGCAGGGAGCCCAATGTGGGGCTCAATCCCTGGACCCTGGGATCATGACCTGAGCCAGAGGCAGCTGCTTAACTGACCGAGCCACCCAGCCACCCTAAAAACAATCATTTAAAGTAGAGCTTTAAGATACATTTATACATTAATATACCTTTTTGATACTGTAGAAATTAAAATACCTGTTGAAATCATAGGTTCATTTAAAAATCATCAAAAATGGGGGCGCCTGGATGGCACAGTCTGTTGAGCATCTGACTCCTGGTTTTGGCCCAGGTTGCGTTCTCAGGGTCATGGGATTGAACCCCATGTGGGGCTCCACACTCAGCACAGGGTCTGCTTGGGATTCTCTCTCCCTCTCCCTCTCCCTCTGCCCCTCCTGCTCATGCTCCCTCTCTCTAAAAATAAATAAATCTTTAAAAACATTATTTAAAAATAAAGTAATACATTATATGTTAAAAAAAAAAAAAGAAGATAGTAGGAAGAGAAAAATGAAGGGGGGGAATCGGAGGGGGAGATGACATGAGAGACTGTGGATTCTGAGAAACAAACTGAGGGTTCTAGAAGGGAGGGGGGTGGGGAGATGGGTGAGCCTGGTTATGGGTATTAAAGAGGGCACGTATTGAATGGAGCACTGGGTGTTATACGCAAACAATGAATCATGGAACACTACATCAAAAACTAATGATGTAATGTATGGTGATTAATGTAACATAATAAAATAAAATTTTTAAAATAATAAAAAAATAAAAATAAAGTAAAATTATCAACAATGATGGCAATTAAGTGACTAAATGCCCTAGTATAGACAATCACTATTTGTGATACTCAGAAACTAGAAATATAAAATGGGAACCTAAAAAAAAATTTGGAAATTCAAGTTATGAAGGCAACTAATGAGGATAATTTAAAAGAAGGAAGGATTTTTCTGTTTGAAAATATTAAAATATTAATGTACAAATCTTTAAAAAAAAAAAAAAAACACTAAAGTTTACTGGTTGTATTCGTTTCCTACGGCTGCTGTGACAAATTACACCAAAGTGTGGTTCCACAAATGCAAAATGTATTCTCTCACCATTCTGGAGCCTCAGAGGGGAGAATCTGTCTCCTGGCCTTCTGTAGCTTCCAGGCGCCCCTGTAGTCCTGGGCGCATGGCCCCTTTCTCCACCTTCAAAGCTGTTCGGTCTTCTCCTCTCCGTAGTCAGATCACCTCCTGCCTCCCTCTCTCATTAGGACACCTGTGATCCCATTAGAGCCCACCCAGATCATCCAGGATAATCTCCCCATCTCAAGATTCTTAATCACATCTGCAAAGTCCCTTTTGCCATATAAGGTAACCATTTCAGGTTCCAAGGATTAGGACGTGGATGCCTTTGATCACCAATATCTTTCAACCGAAGGTCTCTCCGAGAGGATCTCTAAGGTCTCTCAACCCAAGCTAGTGACACTAGGCAACATAATGAAGGGCGTCGCTTTGAAAGATAGATATAAACGTCACTATTCTTCCCACAACTAGTCATATGGATGGATGTGTTGTGTTGTGTTTTGTCTTGTCTAATCAATGGATACATGATCTAGATTTCGTAAATCTCGATCACACTTCTCAAAATTATTCCTAACTGGGCAGGATAATTTTTTAAATTCTTCTCTTCTTTAAAAAGTGCAAATTATTTCTTGAGCAGGCCTGGCATTGTGGAAATAAGGTGGGCTTTGGAGTTACAGCTCTGGGCTTACTACTCACTTTGTTACTTTCCACCTTTTATATTCAAAGACTTATTTATAAAAAGTGCACAGCAAAATAGGATTGATTTACCATTGTTCAGTATGGTCTATGGAATGAATTCAGATGTGACTGGTAAATAAAGTAACGTGAAAATAGTGATGATCTCATTAAGCCCTCGATAACAGCATATATTAGAAATGTGACATAAATAGTGTTGCTAAGTCTAATAAAAGCCAGACACTGGTAAATGAAAGTTACCATTCTACTATTTAAATTATCATTGAACTGACAATTGCCACAATCTCCTACACCTCAGGGTTTGTGTTACGTTTGTGTTACGTCTTTCCAAGATGCTTGTATTAAAAATTCAGGCAAAGCTTCAATGAGTTATGTGACGTAGATATCAGAACAATAACTTTAAGAATACCTTTAATAGTGACAGAGGATGTAGGTATTTTTCTAGATCACAGAAGGTTAGTAAGAAAATCCACATACTAAGGTGTAAAGAAAAATTCCTTTCCCTTACAAAAATATTTGAAGTCATTCTCCTGAGAAATGCCTACTTTATATATCATTCTTAAGGAGGTAAAGAAGCTGATCGAGCAACCGTCCTTGCCAACAGAACACAGATCTAAAATCTGCTGCGACTGGTCACTATCGTGCTCAGAAGCAGTCTAGAGTTTCTCAGATCTCCATAGGATATGTCATTAAATCTTCTCCTCCTGCTGGGTCTGACTTCTGGGAAAAAAGCATATGGTATAAAAATTACTATATTTGGTAGTGAATACTAATGATCACTCAGGAGGCTCATCCTTCGGTTTCTTTGGCCTTTAGCATCTAGTTGGTTATAAATGTGACATGATTGGATTTGATTTAATAATCTTTTTGAATTTGTGGTTCAGAATTTACAGTATAAAATGTGCCTGTAAAATCAGATACCCACATATATGGAGAGATATATACATTTATTTTTGGTGTTATCCCATTAACAGATGGTAAAATGAAGGCAAGAAAAACCCAGAACTGCCCAAGGCTAAGTTTACAGAGGTGCTCATTCCTCTTAAATTAGTAAACTCTGGAAACAGATTCAACACGGACCTACACACACAAAGACATGTAAGTGATACAGGGTAACACTGCTTTACTATAGTGGGGGAATTGGAAGGGATGTCACATCACATGAACTACAAAGCTGTATATCAATTTCTATACAGACAATGTCTTAATCATTGTATGGAAGGACAGAAGAAAGTGTTTCGAAATGCGCAGAAATTATTCTATGATCCATACAAAAACAATCAATAACATCTTCTGTGTTACAATAAATTTGCGAGTGGAATTTCACACACGTGTTATGTTACACAGGGCATGTTCTATAACATTCAAAACCCGGCATGGTTAATAAAAATAATTCCAGGGAAAGAACTAAGAGAAATTTGGTTAAAGATGTAATTTTACTTCACATAAACAGCTTTCTAAATATTTATCTAAAGCTAATTACGCTGGCTCAGTACTGTAAAAAACAGGATTGTGTTACACGGTAGGACAGTAATAATTTCCCCTCTGATGGCATAAATCCCTTGGCTAATTTGGCTAATAACATCAATAGTTAGTATACAAATTTTATTTACCAAGGCCAATAGAAAGAATTCTCAGAAGTTGGGTCATATTTGGATCAAATGTCACTGTCAAAACAAGACAAGATAGATTCCATAATACATAGGGAATTTCTATTTTATTTTCTAAATGTATCCATAATGAAAAGCTCCATCGTGAAAAATAATATAAAATATGGATTTTGTATCAAAACTCTGCCAGAAAGTACAGTTCACATCAGAAGTTAATAGCACTGGGGGAGTTAAAAGATTAATACAAAAACAAATACATATTACAGATATTTCTTTGTTCTTCACTTACCATGATGCAAACTGCAAGGATTTAACCTTTAAGGGTTAAAGAGTTTAATCAATGTCAATGTCTGATCTTCTGAAGGCGATAAAGAACAGTCTGTCTAGCGATACCCAACAGAACATCACTTTGTCAAGCCACAAAGCGCCCAAAAGCTTGTCAAGTAAGTTACCAGAACCCTCTTTGTGGTTAGAACTCAGCTCCTTCCTGCTTGACCTATTATTTGATATTTGACCACTTGGTTGCAAGACACTTGCTCTTTCTAGCTGAAATGTCACTGGGGCATCTTGTCAGCTCCCCGACACCTCGGCCTGACATACAATTTTACTTCTGTGTGCTACAAGGCAGAAAATGCAGGGCAATGGCCTTGTTTTAAATTCTGTCAGCATCAAAGATGGGCGTCACTCTTGGGTCCTACCAACAACCAAAACAAAAAAGGAGTCTCTTTTGAAGGTCAAAACAGCCATTACCTTGAAGTTTTTCAGCTCATACTATTTCGTATCACCTGCTCTCCTCGTGTGGGCACCGTCCTTATGAAGTGCCTAACCATACCACAGAAATCCTGCCGGCACGATCGCTCCACTTTCTCATCAAATGCAGACTTGATAAAAGGATGAGTTTTCAATGCCTGCAGGGACCAGATTCAGCAGTTAACTTGTTCAAATGGGCAAGTGGTATCATGTAGCTTTACAAGGAGCAACCTGACCTTCTCACATTGACCAGGAGTGACATTATTGTGCAGGAGGGGAAGCAGTCACATCATTTCTGTTTTGCACAACCTGCTTAAAGTTTGCAACTAAATGCTTGTCTTCAGCCGAGCTGACAAGAGAGAAGAGGGGGCTCAGTGAACCATGGCAGGGCTGCCATGAAATGACAGGAATCATTGGCATACATTTCAAATAGCTCTTTCAATCCTATTAAAGTATTGCGGTCCTGCTTTAAAATAGACAAGTATGAAACAACTTTGATAGATAGAGACTAAAATGGCTTATTGATTTTTTTAAGTCTGAAGGAAATTACCCAAAATGTGTCATTCTTTAACATTTAAAAATATGTTACATAAAAATGAGCAACTGTGATCATAAATAAAACTTAGAAGGAAAAAAAGTTGGTTATTTCATTATTCAAGGAGACATACGTACCTGCACACGTCAACATGCCACACGATTTTTAAAAACCCACTGCCGTTTGTGCTGAAACAAAATTCAACTGATAAGAAAACCCCCTTCAAAACAATTTTAATTGTACTGTTAACTCTTCCTGCCTTTTTTGTTTTTATTTCATAAAGTCATTATCCAATCTGAGTTGGTCGTTTGGCATTAGCAGACATAGTCGCTGGAGAGGAGTGAGATGACATCAGCGGATTTATCAGTGTCTCCTTTAAGAAAGTGTAAGTTGTATCCAGTTCAGCTTGCAATGGCAAGAAATCCCCCACACCAACTGCTTCTGCGGGAAGAGCAGCTCTTGAAGGAATGGAGAGATTTGAATGGTCTCGGGATCCTACCTACGATATGAAGAAGAAAAAAACAAATAAACATAGAGGTGAAAACTCTGAAACAGAATTGAAAACCAGACACAGGGAAGTGGGGACTAATAATCATCGTGATACAAGATGGGGTGGAAATGCCATTTTTAATTTTGCCATTATCGGTATGATAATATATAAATAGTAAATTATTTTCCGAGCGTGATTGAATCCCTTCTAAAGTGTCTGATGTCATGAACTTTTCCGGAGTTTGTCCAAACACTGAAACATTGTATAAAACTTTTATAAAGTTATTGCATCGAAGAGTCAGGGCAATCAGGCAATCTCCTGCCACAGGCAATCTCCAGAAGCCAATGAGAAGAGTGTTTATTTCATTATGCTCTATAATATGTGCTATATAACATGGAAGATCCGACTGCTGAGAACATGAACTGTGGGTATTTATGTTTTTAAGATCTATCAGCCGGACTCATTTAATCGACAAATACAGCACAAAGAAAAATAAGTAAATTCTAGTGACCTCTAGGAGATAGCACAATGAGATATAAAATGCCAGGGAAATGAACTTTTTTGCCTTTTCCTTTGCTAATAATGCCACTGCTCTATTTCAACAAAAACTGTTCTATTGAAAGTATTTGGAAATCGTGTATCAAAACATGGGATTGGGGGCGCCTGGGTGGCTCAGTTGGTTAAGTGACTGCCTTCGGCTCAGGTCATGATCCTGGAGTCCCAGGATCGAGTCCCGCATCAGGCTCCCTGCTCAACGGGGAGTCTGCTTCTCCCTCTGACCCTCCCCCTCTCATGCTCTCTCTCTCTATCTCATTCTCTCTCTCAAATAAATAAATAAAATCTTTAAAAAAAACAAAAAACATGGGATTGCAACATGAAAAACTATTTGCCACATATTTTAAAACATTACTGGTATCCAGAAACTACTAGAAGTGAAATCAAGGAAATCCACACATCCACGATGTACTTGAAAACAGAATTAATATTTTGATGAAGCCTTCAGTAACGCTGATAATCAGTAGTTAACATCTAACATGAATGAAGTCTTATCAGTAAAGCAGATAGGTACTATTATTTTATGACATTTATTCATAGTAACTATTGATCAATTGTATGTCAGAATTTTCTAGATTCCCAACAAATAAATGTTCTTGAGATAATAAGTCTCGTCATAAGTGTCTCCATTAAAAACCACACTTTACATTGCAGAGGTTTTTTTGTTTGTTTGTTTGTTTGTTTTTTTAGATTTTTTATTTATTTATTCATGAGAGATAGAGAGAGAGAGAGAGAGGCAGAGGGAGAAACAGACTTCCCACGGAGCAGGGAGCCCGATGCGGGACTTGATCCCAGGACCCCGGGATCATGACCTGAGCCGAAGGCAGACGCTTAACCATCTGAGCCACCCAGTCGCCCTACATTGCAGAGTTTTAAAAAAAAAAAACAACAACCTCTTTTTGGTATATTCTCTTACAGTTTTGGCAATAAAATCGCATGAACTTTAAGAACCTGCTTTATTATGTCACATTCTACAAAACCACTCCGACAAGTGAAAACAAGAGGGAAGCCATCAGTAGTTTTAGGAATGTATCAGCAATGCAACTGTTGTATATGTTACCATTTTTGTGGATTTTTTTAACTACAACTGGAGAAAAATCAATGGCTGCATCTAACACCTAGTTCAGCAATTTCCTTTGATCTCTGTTCTTTTGATTTCTTGATATTCCACTACAAGCCTACAGCTGACGGAAATCATCCCTTTTTATGCTGGAAGTTTAAAAAAATAAAGCACCTAAAATGACCACTTGAATGACTTTACGAAGGAGAGGGTTTAGCTTACCCCGACGGAAGGAAAAGACATCCTGAGATCAGGCGTTGACCCTGATTAGCAATGCTGATAAGGTTTCCTTTGCAAACCTGGAATATTGGACCCTGAACAGAGAGAGGCATCTCATTCCATCCGAGGCTGGAGTTGCAGATTCCTGCCCTTCTACGGCTCCTAGAATCACCTTTTCTAATTTTTTTTCTGTATGTCCGAATGGGCAGCACCATTACCTGATTGATTTTGCTGTTATCAAGACTCTAGTGCCATCTACTAACTTCTCCTTCCGTCAGGCCTGAGGGCAAAGGGAGTCCCGGGAAGGCAGGAGACGGTGGGGCCTGATTTTCTTAGTAAAATTTAGGGATAGCCACAGTATTCTTTATTATGATAAAACTGTCAGGTGAGGCTTCAGAATTTGTTGTCACATCGTTATATCTCAAGTTCTGGTCTAAGAAAACTATACACGAAAAGAGAAGAGTGTGCAAAAGCGGACCAAGGAAGGTCAAGGAGTCTCTGAGGGTATTTTGTTCTGAAGCCTTCGACTAGAGCAACAGAACCGTGCCACACTGACCACTCACCCCTGTTGGCAATATTAAAGGTGTACATGATTTACTCCAATCTATATTCTGTTCTTGAAGTTTCCTTTTTAGTTCTCGTGATCCCATCAACCTAGCGCATTACATATTAGGGAGACCATCCTTTAGGGAAGGCCTCTAACTGCTCGTTTCTCCTTAATAGTCGATGGATCTTGGCACTCTACAAGGGGGGTCCTCTTTTGCCCTTTCTCACCTTAACTTTTTAATACGTCTATTTTCCACCAGGTTGACCGAAAGCATCTTTTCATCTAATATAACATTTTTTTTTAACTAAATCATCTTGAAATGGGATGTTGGGTATTTCCCTAGTATTTCAAATCAGACTCTCACTTTTTGCATGCTACCTTCTGACCTTTTATGTCCTAACCATGGAAAACAACTTTTAAAAAAAAGAGGGTTTTTTTTTAAGATTTGCACCCCCAAAAGATATGCCCTCCACCAAGTAAACAGATTTACTTTTGTGTAAATGAAAACACATTTTTCTTCTTTTTTGCTAGTAGGATAATTTGCTATACTCCATACACTGCTAGAAAGTTTTTTTTTTTTCATGAAATGGGGGAAAAAATCTGATTTTAAGTCACTTAATAGCTTGTAAACAAGCCAGCAAAAATTCTGATGAAATCTTGATTTGAGAATGTGATGTAAAAAAAAAACAAGGAGGGGAGGTGAGCTGGGGGATGGGGTGGTGGACATTGGGGAGCGTGTGTGTTGTAATGAGCACTGGGTATTATATAAGACTGATGAATCACAGACCTGCACCCCTGAAACAAATAATACATTATATGTTTAAAAAAATAAAACAAAAAACCTTTCACCATGAAAAGAAAAAGTAAATATGAACTCTTTTCTCTTGTTACAAATAGTATCCAGAAATATATCATAACACTTTTAATATAACACAGAGAGTAAAAGACAGTTAAATAACTTTTTTATCAGAGACCATTAAAAGTTAATATTCACCACCTGATCTTATATTTTAAATCCGTAAAGCCCATGGTCATTTGAATTACTTTTTAAACTGCTGAGGTGTTCTGGTACACTCTCATTTAAATCTAAATTTAAGCAATTTTTCAAAAAGAGATTAGTTACCTGAAATAAAAGCTAGGTGTCATGTGAATCTTTATGGAAGCACTTTTATTTACTCAATAAGCTGTAAATGATTCTATTTGAACTGTTACAGTCCATCAGCTAAATATATATTCACAATACAGAATGTGTTCACTACATTTCTGCATTTTAAAATTTTTATGAAATACAGTAATTGGACATGTCTAATAGCTATTTTTCAAGGCCTTAATACCTTAGTTTTCCAAGAGTGTTTTCCCAACAAAAAAAGTAAATAAAGCATTAGTCTAATAATATGATAATCACTCAGGAGGTTGTCTATAAATGAAAGCCATTTTGCAGATCAAGGCTTCTGAACAGATGACACCAAACTATCTGTCTCCCATGTGGCATATATTATCGAGTTAAGTCTTCTGGAATCTCGTATTCTGAAAAGTGTGTGGTGATGTGATTTAGTAAGCCGGATGCTACTACATGGCGGTTCTGCCAGGCACATAGTGGGAGTCCTGGAATGGAGAGCCAACAACTACAGTTTTCCCTCCCACTTCTGTTCCAGTCTAGCTGGGCCATTTCCGCCATGGGAATTAGTCCACCCACGTATCACGTCCCTTGCCTATAAAATAAGGAGCTACACCCTTTACAGCTCTGAAGTTCTATAGATTCACATAATTCCATGCATGACGGTGTATGACATAATGTTAACGCCCAACTTTTGTGGATGATGTTAACCCAAATACAGTACTTCAGATTTTGAGGGGCCATAGAGAGGAGGAATGCACATTGCACATGGTTTTTTAAAAAAGTTGCATAGAGGGACACCTGGGTGGCTGAGTCGGTTAAGCGTCTGCCTTCGGCTCAGGTCATGATCCCAGGGTCCTGGGATCGAGTCCTGCATCAGGTTCCCTGCTCAGCGGGGAGCCTGCTTCTCCCTCTCTCTCTGCCATTCCCCCTACTTGTGCTCGCTCTCTCTCTGACAAACAAATAAAATCTTTTTTTTTAAAGTCGCATAAATAACAAGATTAGCCAGTTTGGATGATGTGGGTTCATTCAATTAAATTCTGTAGTACCTGTTTTATGACTTTGACCTCCATGATGATGTTTTAAGCTCTGTAAATTATTGCCCTGGCTTTAAGTAGGGTGTGCAGCTGACGAAGGAATCAAAGTACTCACCAGAGGGCCTTCCAGTGAGGCTCTCTCACCATTGTTACTTTATCTGCTAATGTGTTCTTACCACTAGAGTCTCAAGACTCAATATCACAGAGTCTTCCTCCTTCCAAAGACTTCGAGTTAGTTAACCAAATTCTACCTATCTTCCAGTCTGCCATGTTGGCGTCATAGGACACTGGGGTCTGCACAAAGTTGGCAATAATCACATATATAGTTTTCTCTTGTGGAATGGTCCATTATATACCTGATATATATACATATAACATGCACTTGATAAATATTTTTGTGTGTGTACATTATATGCACGTGCTATGTGCATTCACATCCATACATTATATATATACATACACATACATACGTGT